TGAATGATCCGCCTACCATAAAGCAAAGTGCATCTAGCTTCCAAAGCATGCCGAGGAATGTTCTACAGGGTACCCTGTTCTCTCTTTCTCTCTCTCTCTTTTCTTTTCTTTTCTTTTCTTTTCTTTTCTTTATTTTTCTTTCTTTCTTTCTTTCTTTCTTTCTCTCTTCTTCTCTTTTACTCTATGGCTATGCGACGGTATCGCGATCGAGTAACTGCAACTCTCAATTTGATCTTTAATGATCCCCACGGACTTTACTGCCGTGAGTTTTTCTAACCTCACGCTCTTGGCTATCCTCCTCCTCCTTCTCCTCCTCTTCCTCCTTCTTCTCTTCCACCTTTTCTTTTTTCTTATTTTGCTTTCCTGTCGATCGACACGCGGGTCCAATAGTTTTTCTTAAATCTACCTCCTCGTACACTTTGTGTCAACGCTACCGAAAAACTTTGAAAATCAAATCGATCAAGTTGACAACATTTTATTAGATATTATGCATCAATAAATATATAAATGCATTTGAATATTATAAATGTTAATGTTAATATTTATGATTATGTTTGAAATAATTAGAAAATAATGAACGTAGAGATGAAACGTAGTGAATAAATGAATGTTAGATTTGTGATAGGTGAGCTAATAAATTTGAATACTTTTGCCCGGACCCCATGAGTTTTCTCTCTCTCTTTCTCTCTCTTTCTCTTTATTACTTGGGGCCACCAAAGCAAATGCCATTAATGTGAACTTTCGATGGAAACGGGATACGACGTGAGCTCGACTCGCGTACAATCGAGCACTTGGGTGTGCGACTGGTGTGTAGGTCAAGCCTTCGTGGCTTGCAATGTTCTCGATGCTAGGTGTGGACCATGCATACCAGGAATCTCCCCGTAGAATAGAACCCTACGAATCTCAAACAATGCCACTTTTTTTTTACGTCAATCATTCTGGAATCCAAAGTACGCATTTTATATTTTTATCACGAAACTATTTCTTCTTCTTCTTCTTCTTCTTCTAGAGAAAAAGTTAGGAATTTATTTAAAAAAAAAAAACATGAAATAACGTTTACATTATCCGTAATTATTATAATATTTGTATCGCGAGATATATTGTTTTGAAAAATATTAAATATGGATACGAATGAATTTTTCTTGCAATATATATTGGATATTAATATTTTGTTTCTAAATTATAATATTAAAATTCTGATTCGATCTAATATTAATTAATACTCTGTTCGATCTGCACGATTGTTACTCGACATTTCGAAAGTTTTCTTCCGTTGAAAAGATTCGGCTTCTCACGACACGTTTTAACTTATTACGCAAGACGTCGAATGTCAATGTCTGACCTGTCAATACCGTGACTACCGAGATACGCGCGACTAACTTTCGTTTCTAAGTTTCGGATAATTTTTCGTTCTATATATATACATATATATTGAAAGAACGTGTAAAAGGGAATTTCTGAAAACAATGTCTCGGTTAATTATACTACTAAAAAACTAGCAAAAAAACATCGGTTAACGATCTCTCGACTAAAGTGTATATATAATCTTTGAAATCATTTGAAATAATTCTTCGTAAAACGTATTTAACAATAATTCTTTATTCTTTTTCTACCTCGAAGGAGTTTATTACGTTTCAAAGAAAATATTCAACTTTCTAATGTAAATCTACGAAAATATTATGATTCATTACGCGTTACACGAATTACTTAAATAATAAAAATCCCTTTTAAAACGAGAGAAAAACCATCTCCAAACGAGTCAAAATCTTTCGTACGAATTTGTTTCTTTTGACTCGAAAAAAAAAGAAAAAATTCAAATGTAAAAAAAGAAAGTATTATAATATTATAAAAGAAGGAAGAGAACGGAAGGAGATGTTGAAGAAACAGGCGCCTTTGGCGGCTGGGTGTGGATAGATCTCGAGGCGTTTTATCTCGCGCCCTTTTTCGCGTGGGTGTCCTGTAGTTTCGTTACGGTCGATCGTCAGCCACTATAGCAGCACCTAACTATATATATACATATATATATAGGTGTGTGTATATATCCTTATATATACAAATATATTTGTATGAGTTTTAGGTGTGCGTATGCGCGTACGTGTTAAACTTAAATGCTACTTGACCAATTCGCCGTGCACGATGTATATATATATATATATATATATATATACACATACACATATGTGTTGGTGTGCCACCTGTAGCTGGGACCTCGATATATACGTCGTCGTTGTGCAACGATAACTTGACTCCACCGTGGGACCGTGTAGTACATTTTACGATCGTTTGTCACACCCTCGCAATCGCGATTTCTTTTACGTCGTATTCACGCGCGAGGCACTCGCATTTGTTGTGTGTTACTTTTTTTTTTTTTCTCTATCAACATTTTCTTTCTTTTTCTTTCTATCTTTCATTCTTTCATTCTTTATCTATCTTTAACAGATATATGTAGTAGGTACGCATCGGTTCTATTTTCTTTTTTATTTTTTTTTTTTTCATTCAAGGACGTGCGAATATGTTAACTCGATTCAATTCTTTGAATACATATTTAAATGAATTCAATGTTACAGGATCTAGATTAATCTATATTTTATTATTATTATTATTATTATTATTATTATTATTAGTTCTAGGTTGCTCGAATCGATTAACCCCTTGAACTATCATTGCTTATTCTTTCTCACAATCGATTTGTTTTATCGTTTCGTTAGGTTTTTATTTTTTTTTTCTCTACTCTCTTGACGCGTATCATTTATTTTATTATATAAATCTATAGACACAGTTTTTGTTAATGTTATATTAGAAAAATTGTTAAATGAGTAATATAGGATACAATTGTAATAATTATTATGATTAGTATTTTTATGCAACTTGTATAAATATTGATTGAAAATGTATTATAGATCGAACAACTAATCTAAAAATAACAACTATTCTCTGTTCGTCGATGCATATATGGGTCAAGACAATATTTATTCAAAGACTTGTGTCTAATCGAATGATCATGACTAATCTTACGCGAAGATACGCTATCTATAACAAGTAATAATGTAACCACTTACTAACCTGTGACCTGAATCCACGTCAATAATTTTTCTTTACAATCATTTTATAGCTCAATATACAAGGTGTTTCGTAATTTGTTGGACTCGCTTCATAAACGAGCAAGGGATATAAAAGCAATGAAAAAAAATGTTCATGCACATATTGTTCGTATAAATGAATTTAAATATTTAATCATTTGAGAATAGGTTTCTCCGCGTAGAAGAATTATAAAACCGTGCATCATTGTTAGAAATAATTTGAAACTTTACAGCGAAGGTGGGTACGAATATTCTTATGACTCACAGTAATGCAACACCCAACGCGTAGGATAATGATCCTGTAGATAAAAAAATAAAATATTAATTTCTTGCAACGCGTAAAAAAAGGATAAAACATTAGGAATGTTTCAAATTGACGCGAATCAGAAGCTACCATGATTGTTACTTACAGCGTGTTCTTCTAATTAAATAATGACGTCGATATTTTATATCCGTACGCGTTCACCTGACTTTATAAAATATACGGGGTAATAATTGTGTGTATACTACTTTCGTCCTTAATCGTATCAATTATCGATAAATTCGAATCGAAGGAGCACACGACTGAAATCTACACATGTATATACTAATAAACGAATGATATGTATTTATGCAAACACATACGTGAAACTTGGGTTCAAAGGATCACGAGAAATCAAGCGGTTAGATTTAATGCATCATTCGTGAAATTATTCATGAAAGAAAGAATAATAGTACTCGTAGTAAATTATAGTCGATTATTGTTTAACTAGCGTACATTCATACATACATACATACATATATACATAAGTATCATACATAAATGATTTATAAACCAACCGACAAAAGAGACGATCGGCCATTTTGAAAATCTTAAAAGACTTTTGATCGATTTCGCAACAATCTACTAGATCGTGAAACATTGTACATTTTTATTTGTTACTTTTTATTTACGATACGAACCTATATAAAAGGGACCTTTATGAAAAGATCTCTCTTTTATAATATGCACCTTGGAAATACGAGAAAGGTAACCGAATGGCTTTTCCGTAACCCGCGATTGCCCCACCTTTCGTTTCGTCGATGGGTGCGAAGCCGAGAGAATAATAGTTCGCCGTTCGAGCGTAACTTTACGTCCGGTAAATCTTGCCAACGTATTTTCAACGACAAGATAAGCTAACTCACGTTTATATATATATGTACACGAATAATAAAAAGTACGTTTACGGGGGTTATTTGTAAACGTGATATGAACAAAAAATATTTCCACTATCTCATCTACATTTTTATTCGTTTCTTTGATCTTAGTTGTGTTCATGAGAAATAAATGTACTTTTCCGTAAATTATCCATATAAAAAAGAGGGAACGAAAAATATAATAGAATTATTAACAAAATTCGTGAAAAATTCGAAACTTTTTACTACAGACAATTTTCGATTGGTCACGTTAGGTATACCATTCAACTTGTGTACGTACACTGACGTCGATGATCTTTCCCAAGCCCTATTCGTGATTTTTTTTTTTCCTCTCCAATATCGATAATCTCCGGAACGGTCGGGGAGCTCCGTTAGGAAGTATACATCTATCTGATTTCACTTTGCTTCCTCGTCGAACGTGCGATAAATAATGAACGAGAGAAAAAAGATAAGTAAAATTCTACGCTCGTAAATCTTATTATAACATTCGAGAGAGAAAGATAAAAGATCACTTTTCGCATAGACGAGTGACGTTTAACTATATGTATGTTATATTAGAAGATATAAAATTTTTTTTTTATCTAAAAATAAATTGATCAGAGAAGCGTAGAATTAATCTGATAAAGTAAAACAAAACTTGTAAGAAATAATTTAGGTGGTTTTTTTTTTTCTCTCAATGAAATTATTATATAGAGACGATAAAAATATTCTCTTTCGGATCATTAAGGTGTAAGAAATTCTTACCTGATTTATGTCGCTGCCAAGGTCCCTAGCGCTCTTGGCACTCCTAAGTCGATCTCCGCGATATTCACGATAACGCATCGTGACCTCGTCGTCCGTAAGTGCACCACTGCTACCACTTCTGGAATTCTTCTTATTCTTCTCTTCCTTTGCTTTCTTTTCTCTTTTACTGAACAATTGTTTAACCTTGCTCATGGTCCCACTTTTCTTGGCAGCTTTTTTCTCGTATTTCTTATCAGCACCGGTGGGAGGTTTAGACGTGACCAATCCATTGTTAGATTTACCGCTACCGATATCATTCGAATATTTTTCGTTATATTTTCGTTGTTCTAACGGAGTTAAATTCATATTCCTATCGGTATGCCTTCTCTCGTTTTTGATAAATTGCCTACTAGCAAAGCCCTCGTCCTCCGATTCGATCGTTTCGCGTCTATCGGCTTCCTGTGAGTCCCGTCTGTAATCATTTTCGATTCCAGAATCGGCAAGTCGATCTTTCCTGTCTGGATCGCTCAAACGCGTCTCCCTATAACGACGTTGTTCCATGTATGCCCGAGTTTCTTGGGTTCTACCGTGTCTGGATTTACCATTTTCGTGATAACTTCGCAACGGTCTAGTAGGTGGTGTCTCGTCTAGAGAACTTTTACCACGCGGGCTTTCGCGGGCATCAGAATCATCGAAATATTCCAAATGATTGCGCGATCTTCTCAATGGTTTTTTCGGCTCGGTTTCGTGAACGTTGCCGTTTCGGTGATCCTTGGTACGAAGAGTTGTACGCTCGTCGTATCTTGTTTCACGACGAATCGATTCCCTGGCAGTCGTGTCGGAATCGTAACGACTCGAATTGTGACCACTGACACCGGGATCGGTATTTCGTATCGCAGTGTTCGGGTCAGTTGTTCGATCGGTTCTTATGCGAGGCGGTGAACTATCGTAATCGTCGTGAATCGGATGTTTCCCGTTGCTATATCTTTGGGTGGTTCGAGTCTCTTTGTAATACTTCGATTCCAGTTGGCTATTGGTCATTTGCGAGATATCGGTGTCGTAATCGTCGATCGGCCGTTCTCGTAAAATGTCAAGATGTCTTTTGGCGAACGGCGACGATCTATCCTCTTTTCTCGATATATTCGTATCACCTGTACTCGGATAATTGACGTGACTGCAAAGATTCTCGTGCGACCTCGTGGTATATTCGTTTCGTAAAATCCTCGGATTGTCGTTTAATTCGTTCAAACGTTGGGTCGATTTACTCATGCCGCGTATCGATTCGAAATTTTTATTCATTTTTGATAGATTATCGTTGGGACGTATATCACGATCAAGGAAATCATCGCTTTTAGAAAGTTTCCTTTCCGCGGTAAATTTTCTTACCACGATCGGCGAGGATAGGGTATCGGTGTCCTTTGGATCGTTACGGAAGTAATGACTCGTTCTTGGATTCGTTGATTCGTCCGCTAAATAATTAGTAGACTTGTAAGGACCACCCAAATGATTTCGGCCATTCTCGAATCTTTCTTCCGGGCTAGTCCTACTTCTGTCGCTGAGAAACGGTTTAAAGTCGTCCGCATAACTACCGTGCGTCCTCGTTTCGACGATATACTTGTCCCCGTATTTGTCCGTCCTAGTTTCAACCGTATAACCATCTCTCGGTTTTGATTCAACGTAACCGTCCGACGGAATTTTATTAGTTATTTTCTTCTCGTATCCGTAAACTTTGCCGTTGTCCTCGTGTATTTGCTTTTCAAAAATATATTTTTCCCCGTTGCTGCTGGTCCTAGTTTCCGTGATATAAGTATCGGTGTAACGTTTAGGCGATGATATTCTATTAGGCGTAACCGGAGACGGGACGATCGGTTTGTCGATAATCTCGTGTTCGGATTTTTTGATCGATACGTTTGCCGTATTTTTGGCAGCGTACATCTCGTCGGCAAGTAGCCTAGATTTGATCCTAGATTCTAAAAGATCACGCCTGGCGCTCAATTCCGACGTTTTATTGGATATACCACTTTGATGATTTTGTCTCGTGGTGAGATCCGTGCTATCTCTACCACTTGTATCAACGAAAATCGTTGAAGTATATTTCTCCGGTTCGTAACGTCGATCCAATTCTATTTCGTCTTCGGGACACCGATTGTCCAGGTCTCGGGAAGAAAGGAAATCCTTGGAACCACCGAAATGATTACCGAAACGTGATGTCGTCGTACTCTTGCGGGTTTCCTCGTAACGAGACTTTAGATTATTGATCTCGTTGTTACGCCTAAGGTCGCTACTGTAAGAATAATCCGTTCTACGATATTCCTTCTCGGCTGGACTATTTTCACGAGACGAGTCCTTTCTCTCGAGACCCAAACCTTCGTCGCTATCGGAATGACTCCTCTGAGCTTTCTTTTTATCCGTTTGCACTTGAGCATACATAACGTTAGTTTGCGAGGGTGGTGGACTGCAGGAATCGTTCGGCCTTGTATAAGAGAATGGTCGATTATTGTTATGTCCAAAACCAGGTCCCGGGGAGACCATAGTTCTCGTCAGCTGTGGCGGTGGCGAACGATCGTTGGTCAATCGATGAATCATCTTGTTGATCGTCGATTCCTCGCCTCGTTTCTGAAGATCGTATCTGCTGCTGTGCAGCATGCTCCCGACCCGGTCGACCTCGTCGACCTCCCCCTCCTCCTCCTCCTCCTCCGGCTGTTTTCGTTCAGGCGACGCGATACGATTCGTTATTTCCGTCTTCCTTTTAGAACCCGTCACTTCCTTCTCTTCACCGGTAATACGATCCTTATCATTCGTGATATCAACCCGTTTCTGCCTATCAACGAGTTTATTATCTTTCCTCGGGTCTTCGATCGTTCGATCGAGAGAGATCTCGGTAATAATCTCTTCTTCGATCCTCTCCTTCCTTTCGACCCGTTCGATTATTCTCTCGACATCTGTACCACCTTCCTCCTGCTTAGATTTTTTAGCATTAGGCTTACTACCTTCCTCCTTCCCGACAACTCCAAAATGAAACGGTTGCGTCTGATCTACCTGAGGCGATGCTTCGATTATCGGCGATAGTTGTTTCTTTGCTCGTGCCGAACCACTCAAATGCGAGCCCTCGCTTTCGCTACCGCTTCTTTTACGATATTGTCTATTGGACGTACCCGCGTCGCTCACGCTGCGCCCAACCGGTTTCCTTTTTCTTTCTAATTTCGGGGAAAAAAATTTGGCCAACGTGCCCTTCAATTTTTTCGAACTCGCATCGCTGTTGCTTCTCTCCAATGTTTTCTTCTTAATAATTTTTGGTGTCCAAGACAACTGATTATCAACACCACCAGCACTAGCAGTAGCACCACCACCATCACCACCACCACCACCACCACCACTATTCGTCGTCGTCGTTGTCGTTGTCGTAGTCGTAGTCGTAGTCGTTGTTGTCGCACCGATTTCTTCGCTCTTACGTCTCTTTACATCTAACGGCAATTCTGGACGTTTTTTATTAACGTTCCCACCTCGTCGTGCTGGCAACGTGCTGAATTTACCAGGTAAACGTCTATTGTCGTGTGCTACGCAACGCAAGCTACCAACTTGTTGCAATACCAATGCTGCCTCCTGTGCTAAATCTTCCTTGCTGCGCGATAATATATTTTCCTTATGCACCGGGCTCAAGATCAACCTACCTTCCCCATTTCCTACGAGAGCCGCGGCCACGCGCGGTGCACCACGTCCTGAAACAATCGATTTATTTTCATTAATATAATCGTTGGCGAATTAGTTTACTAACTTTTTTTTTAATACAAAAAGGGGGATGTCTTTTAAAGTATAAGAAAGTAATATATTCTTCACGATCGTTTCAATTAATTTATTTGTTAACGTTGAATTTGTAATCTTCAATTAAAGATTTTGTTCAAAAGAAAATATCACAAGCGTATTTTAATAGGTAATGAAATAGCGCGAATAAGATTAAAATTACAATGTTTAACTATTATTTGTTTCTTTTTTTTTTTATTATCACACATATTCGAACATTATAATAGATTGTAGAGACACCCTACCTTAGACTTAGATTAATCCGTACAACGGAAGGACAAGAATTTAGGAATTTTAATCAAACCGATAATAGATATCGGCCATGCCCAAGAGCATGATGCTTTATAAATTAGCGATTTATGTTAAGTAGCACGGTCGTTAGTAGTTAATCACCAAGTTTAATCGCCAACCAACGCACGTCGTCGTCGTTGTCGTCTCTTGCTAACCGAACGAGTTAGTTTGAAAGCCGCTAAATCGTTTCACCGATTAGATCTGTTCGATGATCTTTTTTTTTTATTATATTTTTTTTATTCATTTTATTTTATATTATTTTTTACATCTCTTTGAAAGCTAACAGAGAAAGGGGTATGATGACTCGTGATTAGTTTGGCTTTAGCGAATTTCGTGTTTCTCGATCTCGTAATTCCACGTTTAGTTTCGTATCGATTAGAATACTTGGCTCGTTACTCGTTTAAAAGGTCGACTTTCGCTGTCTAAAACTTCTCTATCATGTGAACACGTGATCAATTGATTTTTTACCCCATTTAAAATATCTCGTACGTTGAAACATTTAAACTTTAAGTCTCATTAATATTATCGGAAACAGAGCGAATTGAAATAAACTTTTACAATCGACAGTTTACGAACTATGCGAACTTGTATATATATATATATATATATACATTCACCCGGTGTAAGGTTTGAGATGAAGAGTGCGAGGAGCGGTTGAACGCATAAACGAACGCAGAAACGAATGCAGAAACGAACGCGAAAGGCAGCACTTGGGTCAAAGGTCAACGGGTGTGTACGCAACGGCTCAGCACGCCCACGCTTCGAAGCACAGGTATCATCCGAGCGTACCAGATCGCAATCTCCTTTAATAAAGCATCCTTCTCGCGTCTCGAATCGTGCTACGGAACTTCTTTACGTTCTTATTTTTTTTTATATTTATTTATATATACATACGCATAGAATAGATACAATAAAAAAAATGATTGACCAAATTTTTAGATCAGGAAAAAAACACGTATAATTAATATAAAATATTATCAAATGTATCTATGTCTCGTGATCGACGTTTTTTTAATTAGGGGAACGTTAACGTTAAAAAAAATGGATAGTTGTTTTAAAGAGGACACGAGAATCAACGTTGCAAGTTTCTATCGATACATCTTGATCGATAGATTTATAGCATCACTTGTTTTCTACGCGAATGCAATGATCAAAGCGAGGTCATCGATGGACACCTCTCAACTCGAAGGAGGTCGTCGTCGTGGCGACTCTAATCGTTGTTCTTCGTCGAGTAAACTGTCGTGCCACTTTTAGTAGAAACACTAAAGCTAGTAGATCTTACAATTAGATGGTTCTTCCCGCGCACCATTTCCAATAACTTTGTGTTCGCCTTTGAACGTTCAACTCTTTCTATCCCGTGGGAAATGGACTTTAAACAAAACCCTTTCCTTTCTCTCAAAACGAACGATTTACTTTACTGCCGTTTCCGTTTCTTCCTTTTTTTTTTTCTCTTTTTATTTTTTCTTTTCCCCACACCCTCCACTACCCCTCCCTCCTACGACTTTGTCTTTACGATCTTCGGCTTTGACAAAAGAAGCTTTGTTCATGGATTCTTCTTTCCCTTCCTTTTCGCAAAGTCAGTTTATCTCGTTTAACAAAGAAGAAACGGTATAAAAGGGGAAGAATTTATTTTTTATATTTCTTTAACCCTGTGTGAGAGAGAATGGAAAATTCGTATATTTAAAGAAAAATAAAAGAAAAGAACTATAATTGCGCAAAAACGTTCGTAAATTAAAAACAATAAACTGTTAAACGTAAAAAAGAAAAAGTATCAAAAAAAAAACCATTTCTAATCTCGCGATAAGAACAACGTGTTTGCGAGAAAAGTATCTATTGGTAATTCTTTCTTTTTCTTCTTCTTCTTCTTCTTCTTATCCGATAAAAGTTGCTTTAATTACGTTCAACGATAAGGATTTTCTTTATTCTCGTCTGATGAGAATTAATCGTGGCCCTGTATAAGAAGATTTTTTATTTTTTCTCTCTTTCTCTCTCTCTCTCTCTCTCTCTCTCTCTCTCTCTCTCGGGCTTCTTAATACATTTAAATATCTTCTAGATACGTGTATTATACATATACACAGGATATACACATATATATACCAGGAACGAGGGAACGAGCGGGTAATTTTAATCGCGATAACGAGTTTTAACGCTTGAGATGGGGAGTAAGGCGAGTAGAATCAATAGCCTCATGATTCTTTGATCTCGGACAAGACGCGATTCGATACCGTGATTCCAAAGACTAATTATTACCAGGATGTGCTGATCCGCACACGAGAATTACTCCGTCGTGCACGCATCGCATAAGTATGTATGCAGACACGACCAGAACTTCTTCCATTTGCCGAATAGAGAAAGAGAAAGAAAAAGAGAGAGAGAGAGAGAGAGAGAGAGAGAGAGAGAGTTCCGATGTGTATTAGCATGTGGTGCACGTTTATACCGAGTAGGAATTGATGGGAGAGAGAAATAGAGATAGAATGTGTGATGAGAAAGAGAAAGAAAAGAAGAAAGAAAGATAAAAGAGAGTTCTATAACCGATCGTGAGGTACTTCTTGACGATGAGTACCTTTGAGATATTCTTCCAAGAGAGTCTTAGGCAAATGGCATGCAAGACGAGTCCAGTGATTTTCAAACAGTCCTTTCATCTTTATTTTTTCAACCTCAAAAACACTTCGACGATGTTCTATTTCTTTCGTTGCATTTATCATCGATATTTCTTATGACTTTCTTTTTTATTTCTTTTTTTTTTTTTATATTTAGAACGTTTTTAATATGCAATTTTTATATCAATAATTTCTCTCGTACGGTTGACAGCAGCTTTTTTTTTATATCCAATCCAATTATACGAAAGGTTCATACGTCAATTTCTATTTCCTAGAATAATTTTTTCTTTTTTGTTTTATATTACATTTTTTATTTCGCATATCATCGAACACCGAGACAAGTTGAACGAACTTCATAGACACGAACCGAGATAATATCATTAATCTAATATTTATTTAATTATTAATTAATATATATTATATACATTCGTGCGATAATAATCGGAAAAATATAAAGATCGTTTTTTGAAATTTATATATATATATTCCATTTGTGTTAGATCAAACGAAAATAGAAAAAAAAGAAAAAAAGGAAAAGGTAATATCAATGCGTTAACAAGATTCAATAATTGCAATAGAGAAATGAAAGGAGTGTGAGTGACGTTTCGATGTCTCATTAAATAAACGTAGATTTAATTAACGCGACATTAACGAACGTCACGAGTTACTTGAAATACGTCATACCAAGAGTCGTTCGTTAAATGAACATGCGGATAGTTAAAATCGTTTCATGTCGTTCGACGAGTTTCTAATCCGTTTTAGAGACGTTCCATTAAGTCGATATCGTGAGCATATTAAAACAAGTTTGACACGTGTTCTATTTTCGGTAGTAAGATCTTTCGCGATTCTAAACACGTGTCTCGTCTTTCATATTACGTATGAAATTACGTTCTAGTTTCATTTATTTAAATGATCGAAGAATTATTTCTTTTAGGATCATTCAACGCGAATCGATATTATTCTTATTAAAAATATGATTTAATTTTTTAACAATTTTTATTAAACCTATGAGTGCAAAATTTCAAAAGAGACAACGTATTAAGCAATCAAACACTACTACTACTACTACTACTTCTAATATTAAACGATTCTCATTTGAATGACGTAATCAGATTGAAATAATTTTTTGATTAATCGAGAATCATAGATCGCTTGGAGTTCTTAGGGGGTAGGTGTTTATACGAGGCTCGCAAGTATTATATTATCTCTTTCTCTCTCTCTCTCTTTCACTCTCTTTGTTTCTTTTACACATAGACCGTATTCCCACGTATCTTTTGCGTAGTCGACGTATCGGTGCGTCAGCCAATAATTAACTCTTCGTGGTAATCGTTGGTGCGCGTTAGCCTTTCAGATCTAACGTTTCCGGGCCTAGGGTAGATGAGCTTTTCTCTCTTGGAGATGGTGTACGGTGAACCAATCTCTGCGTTGCTGCTCGGTGACTAGCCGAATGTATGGGACAGCTCCACGTAGGGTGAAAATTGACGTCACGCGGCTTGAAAATCTTCGTGGTTTATACGCGAACGATTTATGCTCGATTAAAGGCAGTTAAAAATTTCACTCGGCTTTGGCGCGCGGGAATGAAATCAAAATAAAAAGAAATAAAGAAAGAAAGATGTGTTTTAGAAGAAGGATGGATAGGAGGATGGCAGGTGCTTTGCAAAGGTGCACGCTTCTCGAACGAACCAAAGAAAGAACAACAGTGGTGGGGATAAGGAGAAAGAATTGGCGGAAGTGCAAGTGGCGTCTTGCCGCGGGGGGTCAAAGATCACAACCACGGAGCTGACCCACTCTTTCGAGGCCCGTAAATGTTCCTCTCGAGAAGAAGAAGAAGAAGAAGATACACACCACCAACACCACCACCGCATAATCCTTTTGCTTCCATACCAAGAAACAAGTAAGAGAGAAATATGATAAGACATGAGTAAGTTCGATCATTTCCGGCGTGGATGAATAGATCTTTCATTGTTCGATCATCAGACTTATCTTACGTTTACGATTTTCTTCTTCTTCTTCGTTTTCTTCTTCTA